TCGTCTGTTACTTGAAAGAGGTAAACTTGTCACCTATGATCCCACCATGTGTTATCCTGATGAAACGGAAAATTAGTTTTACTCCCAGTTTTCCTTCGTGATACGATCTGTGCCGAGTAGCAACTGGCTATTCTTCGTACGTGATTTCAACGCGCGTGTTGGGCATGATGCCGCGGTGTGGTCAGACTTCATGCGGCCGCATGGTATTGGTTCACCGAATGCGAACAGTGACAGGCTGCTCTCACTGTGTACCACTCACAGCCTGAGGATCATGAACACCCGGTTTGCACTGGGTGCGAATGATATAGCTATTTGGAGGCACCCACGAAGTGGTCACGCTCACCTGATCGACTGTGTCATCGAACTCCAGCGCGATATGCGTGAAGTGCACATGACACGTATATTGCGTGGAGCTGAGTGTGGCACAGACCACAACTTGGTGTGAACTAGGTCGTATTTATATTTTCGTTGATCTCTGTATTGCTCACCTGCCCTGAACCGGTGCAAATACAATGTTCTTTTCCCAAGTACTCTTAGGAAGGGGATGAAACTGAATAAGGCGCTGGCTACCCGCCTTGGGGATGTAGAATCTATTGCCTCGATGAGCAACTTGTAGCACCACATACGTGAACATGTGACAGCTGCGGCCGATGAAACGATCGGGCGCACGATCTGTAAACTGCCCGATAGCTTCCATGACAACAGTGCAACCATTGGCGCATTGGTGTCGGCGAAGAGAGCAGCATTTTCTGAACATGTGGATGACCCTGATGACCGCGAGAAGTCAAATCGTTCGCCGACTTTGACTGCGGTTGACTCAAGAGCTCCGTTGCATCAAGAATGCATGGTGGACGGAGAATGCGAATCAGATGGAATGCTGCGCTGAACGCAGCCAGTATAAGGAATTTGACTCTGTGAAGGCGGTGTGCGTTCCCAGGTTGCATCCGCTGTGGACGCTGTTGGATGATACTTCAGGCTCTGTCTGCACACACACACACAGACTGCAGACATAATGCAGATCTGGCGAAAGAACTTCGACGGTCTTTTCAACTGTCCATCCTAATGAGACTGGACCTTAACATTGTTTGATGGTTTACGTATCTCCATGACCCATTGAGCTACGCTGGGTGGCACTTTCCAAGTATCTTCAGAGCCCCTCATACAAGACAAGTCAATAGTTATAGGTCAGACTAACTCAGTCTCACAATCCAATCCTCTTCGGAGTTTAGGGAGATATCGATGGCCCACTTCCCTTAAAGCTTAGCGATGGGAGACAACAAGTCTACGGGTTATAAGCTCACAGCTCGATTGGCTTAGAGCCCGAGTGCAACCCATTGTCTTTGACGGTGGTTATGCACTTCCCGTTGCTCAGTGGTTTGTTACCGCCCGCATCAAATCAGGCACGCCTTGTTCAAATTGGTGCAAATCCGCCAACTCACACCTGCTGCTGACCGTGCTCCCAAGTGTGTGACCTAATACGGTCATAAGACATAAGTGCATCGTTCTGAATCTGTGTGACAGGTCTCAAGCAGAACTCAGCGGGTCTGTGCGGTCGCACTCCCGAGCTGGACTTAGTCTGCACTGCCCTGTTGGTCAGGCTATTGAGCCAAGCGAACCTCCATGTACGTCACTGCCATGTGGGTCTAACTGTTGATTCAATGGCTAGAGGTAGGGCATCTCAATCAAAACTCATCTCTTGGAATTTGAAATCTGAGGGTATCATCTGCGCTCTCGACCTCATCGACGATGCTCTCCTTATTTTTCCCGCCCCTCCTGACTCTCCTCCCTGTCTATTGAGCAAGAGACTACCGCTGACCTCACAGCTTCTGCCGTCGACAAATGTAGCTCTTCAGTCGAACCTACCACATTTCACATTGGTTCATTTATCCTACACACTTTGGGTCAGATCGGCCAACATCCAGCACTTACTCTCACTCTTCGCTGTCTTGGTATCGATGTGTGCTGTGTCTCCGAAACATGCATATATGATAAAAGCGTTGTGACAAATCTTCGACTCCCCTGGTTCTGAGTCTGACGACAATGACTACCCTTTACGCGTCTCTGACATCATCATCATACACGTTAGTTAGAGGTGGAAAACACAGCTGTTGTGCCGCAGTACATTAGAAAAGAAAAGAAAAATACAGCAAGGACACGCCGGCTGAGTCACCGGTAACGGATGAACATCGTTCCGGAGAGCTAACAGCCGGTTATTTTCCACAAAAAGAAGAGTTACCTTATGCGTCTTTGGCTATACCAAATCAATGGCTCAACGTATTAAAGGTTCTGATATCACGCTCAACAAGAATCCTAAAGGCACTCTACTCGACTGGATGCTAATGAGCAGCCACATGTGTGTAGTTCGAGTTCGAAATTATATTTGATTTACTAAGCACTGTCTGAAGACAATGGGTCTTTTCATCATCTCCGTTTATGCCCCTACTAAATGCAGTTCAGAGGGTATCAAAGACGATTTCTATCGACAGCTCTCATCTCCTATTCGCTTGGCGAAGGATACTGACATCGTGATTGTTGCTGTTGACATGAATGCCCAATTGGGCACTCTTTCAGAGTGCGAACAACACTTGGGAGAACGCTTCATATTCGATGCACGCCGAACAGACAATAGCGGTCAATTCCTGCAACTGTGCGCCGAACACAACATTTACCTAAGCAGCACCGCTTTCCAGCACAACCGTGTCACCTGGCGCCCGCCGCATTCCTCAATGACGTGGACCCAAATTGACCACATTACTTTCAGCACATCAGTCAAAGACTGTCGGTCAATTTGAGGCACGGACTTGGATTGCGATCATGCTCTAGTGCGCGCATGCTTGGCGCTCACTCTTCTCGGTTCCAAGAAGCACCTATCTTCTAACCTTCTTGTAACTTAAGCTCGCAGTCTGCAGATCAGCAATATCATGACGAACTGATCCACCAATTATCAGTGATAAATGAGGTTGGGAAATCGAACGCTGACTGGGGTTGTCTCAGCTGTACCATGAGGAATGCCTTTGATGCCTCTGCGCACCCTACTTTAGATGCCGGAACTGTTAGTGGAGCTCTGAGGCATCGAGCAGTTGGATCGGAACACGGAAACATCTTCCGATGGGCACTGTGTTTCAGTGTCTCCATAACTCTCTGATACTACTCATCGTACGGAGTCTTCGAATCGACCGGGAACGTTGGTGGATGGCAAGCGCCCGTGAGATGGAGAAAGCCAGTGCTGTTGGGAACCGCCGAATACCATTATTGCTCATCGGGAATGCAACGACTCATATCCTTAAGTATCGTATGTCTGCCTTGTAATCCGAAGGTATGAGTTCTAGCTTGGTATGTGACGTGGCTCCTGTTCACCTACGTTCCGGTCTTATTCCCTCGGATTTACACTGTATGTGTGTTGCTTGTGCATCCCAAGCTACCCATAGTGTCTCTTTTAACGCATGCCTACTGTGGCGTTTCCTAGTCTTACTGACTGTCAACTCCGAAATCGGCCGTTGCCATTCATACAACTCCATTATTTGATTCTGTAAATGTGCCGCTGCATATTTGAATTTTTCTGTCTTGTTGCCAATGTAAGAAGAACGCAAAGCAAGTTTTCGAACTTTATGAATGACGTCTGTGGAGCGGATAGGATTGTTGGGATACGCGAGGGGCAGTGGCTTTGCTTAGTGGCGAGTCATATCAGCCATCTTGCAGTTTTTTATTGGGAGTACGCTTGGCAGGCAAAGACCTATCTCGTCCTAGAACAATGCCCATAAACTATTTGGTGAAACGGTATAAATTGTTCGGCGAGCCCGTGTGATTTGAAGCTAAAAGACAAACTTGCATCAAAGCAAGATGGTGAAGAGATAGGAAGAGAAGAGGTAAAGTAATGACAGTGAACGATACATATGCCAAACGTAAGTGGAGGGATAAGGAGATAGGAAATTCTGCGTAATTGCATCCTCACATCTATCCACCCTACTCGATGCGACAGGGCACCGTTGATTATCCACTGCTATGGCCAGAGCGTCGAGTAATTATTTGGATAGGAATTCATTGTGTTGCGTGGCCAGGTTCCCTTTAGATTACCTAGACTGGCGGTTGTCAAAGCTGTGGTAGTTTGGCTTTGGGCTACATGGTATTCGTTTTAATGAAGAAGTGGCCACGGGTCTTGCACCCCGCCACTGAGTTTGTCTGTTCATATACATTGAGTGACTATGAAAGCGCAAGCGGCACCACACAGCACAGCTCCATTGATGGCTGAGGCACCACAATATAATCGAGTCTCATTGCAGTGATACAGCCAATTTCTTCACTCTGTAACTTATTCGCTCGTATTTAGTATGAACTCGGGCTTTTGCACAAAATTTTATTTCTTTTTTACTCAACATTTGTGATCACGCTTAAATAGTGCGTCGCCATTTTTTCGTAGAAAAGTACCAGATAAGCGATTCATACATATCTTAAGTTGCTCTTATTTGAAGAACAGAACTTAGATGATATTTCTTAGACAACATACACGTCTAGAACGTTTTTTCTGGTTCAGTTTCCAACTGGACTTCCACATTAGTCCACAACTACATTATGGCTTTATGTCTTTGTTCTTATCAGCAGAGGTTGGTTATAACTTTCGCTTGCGTGCCACAGCGGCTCGCTTATCAGTTGCCCGCGAATTTAAGTGCTTCTCCATTCTCCATCTTTTTACCAGCACTTTTTGTTTCTTTATATCTCTTTCGTGCATACAGGACTTAGCAAAAACTTGCACCACACACATTGAGCGCCTGATTTTACCCAGACTAGTCTGTTACGTGCACTTTTTACATTTCTGCATCCCAAATTTATATTCCATAAACACATTCAGTTGTGACGTGCTCCGCATTATTTTCTATCCCATCCATTGGTACACTTTACTTTAATTCTAAAATATATCGAATACGTCGAACCTTTTGTTTTGTATGCATCCTTAAATTTCTCGAGCTCTTTTCCGATCATTCCTCTCTATATTATTGTTCCAGTTGATTCCGCCTGTGGTGATCTTGACCGATCGGCAGCCAGCTCAACTTCCACTCCTAGTCATCATATTCCCATCCACAGCGATATGCACAGTTCAGAATTTTCTTATGTCTTCACCAACGTTGGAGGACAAGCAGTCATCCTGTCTGTGCCCCATCTGACCCGGAAGGATACCTTCGGTCTTTTGGATTTAACCGATGTCGTTGCCGTTAGCTCAGTAGTTTTCGCAGAGCCTGGCTGTTCCAGTCCACCCAGCGAGTCTACCGTGTCCGCTCCCTCACTGGGTCTTTATCAGCTAGCACCTGGTCAGGTAGGTATTTATCATATGCTTTCTCGTGCCGATTTAATTTATTAATGGTAGTTGCAGTAGTAATAATAGGCATATTCTGAATGAAGTGACGTACGGTCCAGTCAGATTGTTCCGATCTTACTGTGCAATGTAAGTTCAAAGTAACCTTACAAGCCATGTTTTACAAGCTTAAATCTTGTTCCCTAGCACTTGATGCTTTTAGCAGTATTTCCGTCTAATTTTGCAACGGAAGTTGCCGTCTATTATTCTACAGGCGGCCACATAGTTAACCGCTCGTATCCTAATCTACCGCCCTAAAATGGAGCGGGAACTCCGGGTAAAATATACATGCTAATCCTCGCCCTGGATAATGCCTCACATTTTCGATTTGCACCAGACGCTATAGGAACATCACATGTATCATGTACTACAAACAGCGACTGGACATGTAATCTAGCATGCAATGGTCCATTCCGGGCGAAAATATCAATTCCCTGGCCCTCGCAACACAGCTGTTAATTTTCGGATGATAGTTTTGGATCATTACCAGCATGATACGCTGTATTTCCTTTGAATACCAGACTATTCTGCAAGACTAGATCATCAAAGAAGCGAAAAAGGACCTCAATTCCCATGGTTATTGTCCCTTCTTCCGGGTATCTGTTAACTACTATTCAAGTCCAACCTTTTCTCCATATGACACCTACTTTTGTGCAGCGTTGTAGCTACTGCAAGCCTTCTTCAGTGACAGCGAGTGAGCATTCTATGTAGGCGGTGGTACGACATAAAGTGGCCCATTGGCAACTGACACCGATACTTTGTGGTTAGGGAACACTATAGTTTTCCGCCAGAAAAAATACTCATTGAGAAGCTCAACGGCACACCTGACTGCATGCATCTCCTTTGCGATTTGCGCGTAGCGGCTCTCGGTTCGTGTCAGGGTCAGGCTCCGAAAATCTAGGAGTTTCCCCCATTTGCATCGGCGCCGCCCACATTCCATGTTGACTAGTGTCGCTCGGGATTTTAAGAGGGAGAGACGGATCATAATAAGCAAGGACCGGAGCATCTGCGGTCAAGTCTCATCTTCTTTAAAGCCTCTTCTCGTTCGCTATCCCAGTACCAATCTTCACCTTAGTGTGCGTATGGGAGTCACCGATTCTGTTAACCTTGGTAATAAACAAATCAGATAGTTAACCACCCAATTCGGCTGGTCCATCACTTTCACATCCGTAGGAGACGGCATTCCGTTTGCTGCCCTTACCTTATTTCAAACCATCGGAACTTAAGATGTGTTCGTGAAACACCCTCTAATCTACGCAATCCAACGTTTCAGTTTGATATTTGAATCTGCACAACATTGGATAAGCTTATGTGGGTTACGATCATGCTCTTATCGAGTGCCACCAAAACCAGCAAGTCCTCTGGGAAATTTCCTAAACCGCAAAACAACAGGCTGGTGAGCTCATTGGACGACAAATACGCTAAGATAAAAATCGATGATACGTGCGGCCACCTAACACTAATGCACGAAACGTTCACAGTTAAAGGAAACGAAGCAGAGTTGCTGATTGAAATTGACGCCCAAGATAGGCATACGGACTGCTGCAACAATCACGAACTCATGCTGGTGACTGCTTCCATCCTTCGGATTCGTGACGCTGCTCTTCGGCTTGAGTTTCGAGCTGTTCCTCAGCTTGAGGTAATGGGACGTCTCACTCAACGGCTCTCTGGTGCAGTATTTCTTTGGCAAGATGTTCATCGTGGTCATTGAGTCCAACTGGAAACGTAGCGGTTGTTTCCCAATAATAAGTTCGCGTAGACACTGTTACCTTCTCGATATACCGATAGAGGGTTCCTGAGCAACGGATGGGTCTTCGTGGTCCAGTGAAGTCACTTTTTTCGATCGACAGCATCGTGCAGAATGATTTTCCTTCATGCACTTCGTACAGATTCTTCCCCAAGCTTGACGGTTTTCTCTTTGATAAGGCTTTCTTCTCTTTTTCGTAGCAGGGAGCTACGGCCGCAGTATTGACAGCTTTGTTCACCTGTTGTTGCAATTTGTGACAGTGTTTACCCTGAGAAACTGCATAAGGTACAGCATTTTCGTCGATCACCTGGCGAACATGGGCTTTGTCGCCGTCTTGTTACTACAAATGTCCATACATTACTCCAATGCTAAGTTCCTCTGCTGCAGTTTTCGAGTCATGTCCTCCTTCTGAATGCTTAGCACAATTCGATCCCTTATCAGTGAATCTTATAATCAGTAGCAAAAATTTTACATACTTACTAGCTGTTTCAGCTCAGTGGTGTTGTTGCCAACAGTCTCGCTAGGTAGGCGGTTGCGTCCAAAGAAAAGGTACCGTAGACACTTTTCCTTTTCTATTTCTTCACAAAACTCACTGAATCTTCGGATCACTGCGCACAACTCAAGTTCTCGACATTCGCCTTCGCATTTCATTGTGTGAAGATTCGTCGCAGTTACCCTCAGACAGATGGTCACCACACATCCAGGAAAGCGCTAGACATCCGTTTCGTCCTATTGGGACTCTTCAGTAGCGCGCACCCGCCGAATCCTGCCGGATTCGAACCCCCGACCTCACTTTTACGAGTCAGCGACTTATGCTAGAAAGCCACGGGCGACGGCAGCGGACCACCATGACTGATATCTAACTACGATATAGCGCGGCTCATCCTCCACTGCCATGTAGCTAGCGAGGTCATTACCGATCTCTGCTTGAGAGAGTGAGACTGTGAAGGATAGGAGTCAACAACAACGAGTCGACCTGTGGTTGTAGGCACGGTGCGTCTGAATCGCAGCCCAAACGTGATCGGTTCTAATCTTCTTAGATGTGAACGACTTCGCATATCCCTAGTTCTTCCGCAACTGTTGGTGGTCGCATAGCAGTGAAGCTTCGGTGCGACGCACCGACAGAAAATATGCTTCAACCACTCATCCCGGGAGCGTTTCGTGGGTTATTAACCAACGAACTATGTGTCAACGTGTTGTAAAGCCAGCTCGTGTAGTTACTTTTGAGTTCCAGTAATATCTGACGACCGCTTACTGGGGCCTGAAAATGCGAATTTTGCTGAACACTGTTGACAAACGCCGCCCACAATTAATGCATGTACTACTAAAATGGAAATTGTTTCGATGCACTCATTCACTCATGATTCTATCGGATTTAGTCTATCAGTTTGATTCACTCAAGCAACTGTGCTCCGAGAACCAAAGTGCCGTGGCCCCAGTTACCAGGACTTTCTCCACTAAGATAACAAGGACTAAAACGGTCACGGTAATGATTTTAAATGCAAGAGTAAGTCAGGAAAGGTGAATACTATAACCCGTGATGGTGTGTCAACAAGCAGACACAAGAACCCAATGAATTCGCTACCGTACCATATCAAACTAGGTATATGCTACATCAATGGTGGGTTATTTAGTTTCATATGGTACAGTAGCGAATTCATTAGGTTCTTGTGTCTAGCTGTTGCCACACCACCTCGCGACTCCTATCCATGAAGATGACACATCAGCCTAACCAACTCTATCGGTTTATTTTCTTATGCATTTATGCCATGTCATCGACTGGCCACCACAAGGTTTCACCCAACCAGATGCAGAGTCGGCGTATAATGTACGTTGAGTAAGGCGGTCAACGGGTGTACGGAGGCCCCTAACCAAGCCAACCTAAGTGGTTCAGCACTCCATTGAGACACTAGCGAGTTCGTTTTCCAACACCAACTGACTGACCTCAGTATTCCATACCCAGTGTTCCTACGAGATGGGTACAAGTCTCTGCAAGCATGGGTGATTAAAGACTACCAATCACTTAACGTCTTCAGTGCGGATTGGTCATGTCACTGATCCACACGATTGTATTGGGCTTATCGTAACGCTGTACATCCTACTCCGTCGCAACGAGAATGGATCTTAACATAATGTGACGGTTTGCATACCTCTTTGACCCATAGTGCTATACTGGTTAATGCTCCCGCGCCTCTTAAGAGCTACTCCTACCAGGTTGGTCACTGGTTAGAGGTCAGACGAAGCCAGCGTCCTGGTCCCCCAGGTTGGGAGATTGAAAAGAGACGGCGTCCATTTCCGTTAAACTAAATTGCAACCTCACCGCTGCCTTGCGGACAGGCTTTTGAGCCAAAGGCTTTGCTAGAGAACCCTAATCATCCGCCTCTTTAGGTCTGGGCGCCTTGCCTGTATCTCAGCCCACGTACAACCATGACTCCTTCCTCATACTTCAACCACATCCTGTATCGGCTGTCGCGCAGCTTATAAAGGGTCGCCCTATCTGCTGCATACAACAGGGCGGATAAACGAAATCATGCTACTACTGGCGCCTCCTTTCTTTTCCATGTTGCTCTTACTCTCGACCTAACCCTCATTACTAACCTACCCACTAAATTCCCAGCTTAATTGACAGCAGTCGTAAAGCCAGCCCATAGTCTATAGGTATCGAGCTTGTCTTGCAATCTGACGCCCCTGGTTCGAGCCTACGTGGAGACACAGCCACGCTCGCAGTATGCTTAGCCTACCTGGGACCGGTGATGGTTGCGCGGCGGCGAAGTGTCCGTACTGCGTACCGGCGTATTGCTGATGACTTCTTCTTCGAATCATCTGCAGATACTTTGTCACACCACCCATTGGACATCTATCGGCAACAGTCCCTTATAACACAGGTTAAAAGTGAGCACTTTTCGGTATTTTACATCAGGCAACTACAGCTACAGGACTAATAAATGCAACAGTAACCTGGTGAAGTCAAAAATGAGGACGGATGGGACGGTTTGAACAGATTTAGCATATTCGTTTGATGTTCAAATCGGTTTAATCAGGTGATAGGGCTAACAGACAGCAAAACAACTTGTGTAAACAGGAGGCAAAAAATACTCGCAATATAAAAATTAGATACTTACATAAATAGATAGCATCCGGTTATGCGTGATACTCCGGGACAAGATTTATCATCTGGGCCATGGTAAAGTCAAGGGTTGCACAAGCACCCTAT